GGCCTCGGCCAGATTGCCTCGGAGACCGGCTTCGCCAACCTCGCCACGAAGGGCCTCGGCACGCGTATCATCATGATTGGTACGCTTACGGGTCTCCAGTGGTGGATCTACGACTCGTTCAAGTCGGCGCTTGGCATGGGCACTGCTGGTGGTGTTGCGAAGAATATTGGAGAATAAATATTCATTCAATCTCGAGCTTGCTAGATTGTCTCATACGCACGATATACATGTAATACGAGGAAACGAGCGGTCAGAGCACATCATTGAATGTAGTTTAATGGACCACACTATAGTCTCTCGAGTTCTACGCCACATTATCGAATCACCTCGCCGTTCAAGAAGCTTTTGGTCGCCTCGTAGACACCAAACGAGATGCCCGTGTTGGGCACGGTGCTCATCATGCGGATTATCGATCCTTTCCAGAGCAGTCGAAGGCCTTCTTCCGCGATCGACCGTTGGAGGCAGTGTACAATACCACGGTACACTTGGTTGTTGCCTACATGCTCAGAGAGATCACGTGATTTGACAGCCGAACGCGCGCACCTTGCACCATGAGGCGCAGCGTCACGACGTCCAAGGGGTTAGTCAGCACCGCGGCGCCAGCCCCAGACACGGCACCAATGGCAATCGTCTCGGCCGTGGTTGGCAACCGATCCAACTTGGTCCTACACATCACACCGTGACTCCATATGCTCGATTCGATCGTGCTACGTGAATTGCTTCTTGAGTGCCTCGTAAAACACAAAGCAAAAGCCGGCAAAGGACGCTTCAATGGCCAGACAGGCCGTGTAGCCCGAGTAGAGCCCGCGCACACCTACACCAACTCGGTTTCGGATACTGTGCGAGATGGCGCTGTACCTTCCGTACGCACAATGGACGAGACGGCATGGAAGGTGCCGCGGTAGTTGGTCGAGTGCTTGGACATATCGCCGGTCGCAAGCTGCGGATTGGCGCCCATCTGCATCCGGGACTTGATGACTTCGCTCGGTATGTTGGTCGCCGAGCTGCAGAATTCGCTAAAGCACCCGGCAGCAAAATGCGCGACGGGCGCTTGCTCTGGCGGCACGACCGACACGAGCTAATGATATCTAAGTATTTTGATTCATGCATAAACGGGGGACGTACACACGATTTGCCGACTTCGTACGCAGCATAATAGATGCCTGTGTTGATCGGTGCCATCATGAGCGTCGTCCCGAGGCCGCCAAAGAGCCCCCGGACGCCCTCTTCGCGCACAATGGTCTTCCACGTTGGCCAAATGACCGTGTACTTGGGTGTATCCGCGACCTGCACTTTGATGCGCAAGTTGATCGTGTCGAACGGCAGCAAAATTGAATCCGTGACGGCGCCAGCGACCGAGCCCGAGACCAAGTTGGCCAAAAATACGGTCAACGCACTGGGCACCGCGCGCGGAAGCGGCACGAGTGTATCGATGCTCTCTTGCTTCTGCATTCAATAATGCCAAACCAGCGGTCAAGAATAAACCACGCAGCATCGCCGCTCGTTATTGCAGTGGCTGGATAATACCTATGTGAATGCATATACTGTTGAAAAGCATATGTGCCGGCCCACAAACCTCTGGTAAATGCGCTTTAAAACCTCGCATTATAAATCATACCTCTTGAAAATGATACACGAGAGTGAGACGGCGTGGGCCAGTTACGAGTGCGCTGAGTGGCAGTTTCGGAAGGCAAATGACAACCATCGCTCGACCGTTCGTCGTTCAACGCCATTCAGTGCACGTGCTTGGGCTGCTCCATATTTACTGCCAGTGATCCACAAATGTATAGGAAAGGAAAATGCATACCTTGGACACCAGCGGCCAAACCAGTGCCAGGATCAAGCACAAGCACAGCTATTTCAGCCATAGTTGAACCACGTCATTTAGCCTTATTTCATGGTGAATGCTCGATCGTGTTGGAGAAGTTGGAGATGTTGGAGATTCATGAGCAGCCTCATCCCGAAAACCAAGCCCCAAGTCCATTCACGTCGTATTCTTGCGAAATCACTAACTTTTAGAGGCTACTGAAGTATTTCGGGGTGATCGCTTGCCACAGCCAGTAGCTACACCGGCGCTTCTTCCGAGATGGGTGCTTCCAGGCTACCTTCCAAGCAAGTTGGCAGGGGCCATCGCAAGGTCATGTCCGGATCCGGGTCGTTGCCTTCTTTTTATTTTTGGCGCGTGCCACATTTACCACATGACACGATGGACCAATCACTGGCGCGCGCTCACTACCGTGTCATTTGGTTGGTGCCCGCAAAAATCATCATCCCGCGGCATGGCGAACCTCAAGGGCGGCAAGGCGGGGCAGAAGAAGAAGCCGGGCGACTTTAAGCGGCCCAAGCGCAAGGTCGGGCGCAAGGTCACGCCGTCCAACGTCACGAATGCGAGCATCACGTCCCGGCGCATCAACATCACGGAGCAGAGCGTGCTCCAGGACAAGACGGGCGCGGCCGTGACCCATCGCAACCAGACGCTCCAGGACATCCTCTCCAAGATGTCGCATTACAACGCGCACGTCCGCCGCGACGCGCTCTTTGCGCTCAAGGAGCTCGTGGGCTTGCACGGCATGACGCTCGTCACCAACGTCGGCATCGTCGTCGAGCGCGTGCTGCAGGCCATGATGGACGACGAAGCCGTGGTCCGCGAGGCGTGCGTCGGCGCCTGGAAAAGCTGTCTCGGCAGCTTGACGTTGACCAAGTCCGAGTCGGTGCTCGAGCCGTTCACGTCTTTGATTGCAGTGTATTTCTGCAGTGGCCTCACGCATATCAAGGCCGGCGTCCGCGAAGACGCGCTCGAGCACATCGATGCGCTCCTTGATCTCCCAGTGTGTGCGAACCTCCTCGCGCGCTGCCTCTCGGCCGACCAGTGCGGCCAGCTGCTCGAGAACCTCAAGGACCTCGTGTCGCCCAAGCAAACGACCGTGCAGGTCAAGAACTCGTACTCGCTCTTGGCCGAGCGCAACAAGGCTAAGCAGGCGCAGCTCCAGACACAGGTGCTCAAAGGTCGCTTCTTTGCGGTCGCGGCCGCCCACAAGTTTCTTCGTGCACTCGCGGCCCAGACGCCGTCGACCACCTTGCCGGCAGCGACAAGCGCATCGGTCCCGTCGCATGCCGCCAGTGGCACAATCCTCCTCTTTCCAGCGCCGCAGTTTGTGGGGTGGAGCCCGACGCCGGCATCGGCGGTGCAGAATGCCAACACGACCGCCTCGGCGGCGTCGTGGGCGAATAAGGCCGTGACGCTCCTCCGCGCCCTCCTCGCGCTTTGGATGGAAGCCCACGACGAGCGCGCCAACTTGAGCCAAGAGGCGCTCATGCACATGGTGCTGATCGCGGACTGCGCGACGATGCTCGTGCGCGAAGCCTCGGCGTACATAGACGGTCCGACGATGAAGGCATTCCAGTCGGCGTTTTTTGAAGATTTTCCCAAAGCGTCGCCGGATCCGCTCCGCATCGACATTGCAACGCTCCACCATTGGAACGCGCTCAACTTGGCGATGGCGCAATTTGGCGTCGAGTGCCTCCGCACCGGCGCGGCGCTGCCGGGCGTCAACCTCGACGAGATGATTGCGATGTTTCTGGCCGCCGAGTTGAAGGAGCTGCAAGCGGACAAGGAGTCGTCGACGATCGCGCACTCGGCCAGCTCGATGAAGACGCGGCTCGACATTCTCTTGTTGCTGCTCGAGCGCCAGCCGCACCCGTCGCTCCTCGATTCGTTTACATCACTTTACAAGGCGGCGGCGCCGCAGTCGGCCATGTTCCGCACCTGCACGGCGTTCGTGCTGCAGTACTTGACGCCGACGCTCAACGCCGCCCCGAGCACGCCGGTACGCCTTTGATTTTCTTTGCGTCAAACCTCATGCGGAAGCCTAGCTGGAATGGGACCTGATCTTGACGTGGATGGAGCAACTGGGCCACTTTTTGCAGCTGCCGCACGCCGAAGCGCACCACGATGCGACGCTGGCCAAGGTGTTTCGCGTCTGCATTGCAATCCTCAAGCGTCTTCCAGAGTCGTCCCATGCGTCGCCGGCCCTCGCGTCGTGGCTCTCGCGCGTCATGGCGTTCTTTACCGAGACGACCGAGACCAACTGGGTCGGTAGCATGTCGCCATTGACGCAAATCGAAGCGGCGTCGTGCCTCTACCACCTCCCGTCGTTCCCGCCCGCGTTTCTGAAGACGCTCGCGCTGTGCTGCAAGTCGCCGGGCGTCAGCATCGACGCCAAGTCGTTCCTCGTGGACATTGTTGCCAAGCACGAAGCGCGGTTTGAACGCGGTGCGCTCTTGAGTTTCTACCTCAGTACGCTCTTTGCTCCGACGAACCAAGCCATTGCTGCCCAAGTGTGCCGCGTCCTCACGTGGATGTCGCTCGGTGCGTCGCTCTCGTCGATCCTCGCGCCAATTCTCTCCAAGCAGTCACTCGACGACCATGCGCTGCCCCTCGTCCTCGCCTACGTGGCGTGCCTCCGCTCCAGTACGATTGTGTTCCGCAAGGCGGGCCAAGAGCTCGAGAAGCGACCTGTGCCCGACGTGCTCCGAGCCCAGGTCACGAGTGTCTTTGCGCACGTGCTGACGGCGCCGGCGCCAACGTCGCTTCTGCTTCCGCAGGTCGTCGACGGTCTCCTCTACTGCAACGGTGCCTTCGTCGACCTTGCAAGTCACTTTTTCAGCGCCCAGTCGTTGACCGACGCGCTGGGCCTGTTCCGGGAAGCGCGCTTGCGTCCGCTCGTGCTGCTGTACAAGATCGAGCTGCAAGCGTTGGTGGCGGATGTCGACGAAGCGACTGCCGACGCTAATGTCGTGCGCCAGATTCGAAACGAGCTCCAGCTCATCACCAAGGACGTTGCGTAAACGGTACATTTGTCCAACCAACGTCACTCGACCGCACCCTGCCATTGAATAGTATCTTTATTTCTTCGCCATATTCTCTGTTGAAGTAGAAAAGACACCTTGTCTGTCGACACCAGACTCGACACCATAGTATCGCGAGTGTCGGCGCCACTAATATAAAGCTCTCTCTCTATAGTACGTAGTTCTCTATCGACGATCCCGAAGTTGTACCACAGCAACGCTCTCGCGATTCCATTCGCACTTGCTTCTTCTTTTCGATCCAGGAACGCAAAGGAGCGGCTTCGAGGACGTGTGTGGCTCTCGCTTGTGGCTCCTCGAGAAGGTCCAGCGTGTCACGCACCCATATCTTGCTTTCCCGAGGACGAAGTAAGTGGTGCCAAAGTGCAAAATCATGTTTCACGGGTATTCTTTCCTACAGGTCTTATTCGCCATATACTTGGACTAAAGAAGAATGATAACATCCATTCCTACGGTATATCATGTATGAGAAGGTTTACGGCCTGTCTGAAATCGACCAATCGTTGGCGCGTTCGTTGCGACGATCTCTCTCGAAGCGACCAGTCTCGCTCATGCACCAACAGCACGACCCGTTGGCCGCGCCCAGCGCGACGTGGCAGCTGCCCGTTGCGTCGGCCCTTCTCAAGAACCTCGTCTCGGGCTCGGTCGCGGGCGCGGTCACGGACTCGCTGTTGCTGCCGTTTGACACGGTGAATTTGCGCTTCAAAGTCCAATGCACCTCGCCGCCCAAGTACACGGGTATTGCACACGCTTGGAAAACGATTTTGAAGGAAGAGGGTCTCCGTGGTTTTTTCGGTGGTCTCGCCACGACCTTGCTCATGGCGCCCATCAACACGGGCATCTACTATGCTGCGTACGAAGTGGGCAAAGCCACGGTACGCATAAATCGACGATGCGCGTTGCTCATGGCCTCACGCGACGCACCCATAGCTCACTTCTGTCGTGCCAGACGAGCACGAGTCGATTGCATATTTTGCTGCTGGCGCGTTCAGCGAGCTCTGCAGCTCCGTGACCAACGTGCCGACCGAGGTCATGAAGGCAAGGATGCAGCTGGGCCAAAACCCCAAGAACGCGACGGGCGGCTGGTCCAAGCACACGTCCAACTACCGCGGCACGTTCCACGCGGTGCAGTCGATCGTCCGGCACGAAGGTGCGAACGACGCTGGTCGCCGCGGTGCTGACTCTCTCGTAGGCGTCGCGGGTCTCTACTCGGGCTACGCGTCCTGTCTAACCGTCGACGCGTCGTACGCCGGCTTTTGCTTTGTCTTTTACGAAGGCCTAAAAAAGCACTATCGGTACTGTCTCATCCGACAATGTGGTTGTCAAGAGACGTGTTGCCTGTAGGACCAGCATGGACCGTCCGCCAGGAGCAGCCGAGACGGTGGCGATCGGCGCTGTCGCTGGCGCCGGTGCCGCGATGCTAACCAACCCGCTCGACGTCGTCACTCTGCGCCTCATGACGCAAGGTAGTGGATCGTCCCGTCACCGCGTCGATGGTCCTTAGAAATACGCTGTAGGCACGCACAAGATTTACCGCGGTATTTTCCATTGCCTCCAGCGCTCGATCGCTGAAGAAGGTATCCGCATCCTCTGGAAAGGGTCGGCGACACGCATGATGAGCACGGTGCCGAGCACCGGCATCTCATTCGGCGTCTACGAGTCGATGAAAGGCCTCCTCGGCGACGACGTCGACTTTTCGTTTGGCGACGATTAGGCATGCAGCACAAATGTAAATAATCAATATTAGTTCACTTTGTGTGCATCATTCTCGACGAGAGACGTGACGCCGATCGTCCAGTAATCACGCATCAGATAGTCCCGTGTCTGCGTACCGTCGAGAAGAGTGCGTGCGACCACGAGCAACCAAGCACCACCATCCTTGGCAATGGCGATGATCCTGGTCTTCGCGCGCCGTGCAAGCGATTGGTTTACGTCTGGCTCTCCGCGATGCGTCCGAGAGCAGCTGGTGCCAGCCATTGCGAGGGTCGTCGCTGCTGCCCAAGTACTCTTCTCGTTGGACTCGAGCAACGCAGTCACATGACGGTAGTTGGGACTCGTATTAAATAAGGGTACATCAGTAGTAGAATAAGATAGGGCGTCCGCCGTAGTACGGCGTCGAGGGTGGTGGGTGGTGGTGAAACACACAGCGTAGGGGGGGCCGTGCATCTTCATTTACGTCAAAGCGCTCATAGCACGCGCTGCTGCTCGAGTGAGCTGCTTCGCTCGGTCGCAAAGCACAGCTTGCGCATCGACGTATTCGAGAGCGACGGCAGCGACGTCTGCGGGAGCGTCAAGTCGACGGCGCACTGGCGCATGAGCGTCGGGCCCATGTGCATGGGCGGCGGCGGGCCCAGCTCAAAGTCGCAGTCGTCGTCGTCGTCGTCGAGGACTTGCTCGGCGTGGATGGCGCTCCAGACACAGGCACGCTCGGCCAGGATGGTACTGCTGAAGTAGGTGCAGACGGCGGCCATGATGCTTGCAATTGGGCTGCGAAATGGGATAATGGTCGCAGCGTCAACAAACCACCGCTGTGAAATAGACTACCGGTACCAACACTCTCTCACCATAGAAACTTCAAGTGGCTCGGTGATGTTCCTCTCACATGTAATACCCCACGGCCGCGAAAATTCAAAAACCTTTCATACTCGATGTATTCGGGCCAGTGTAATTCAGCCGACATTCCCAGCACAGTAAAGAGTGATGGTTTTAGCTTGGGTTTTCTGAGTGGATGTCCACGAGCCCATTCGCGAAACAGAGTCTGTGGACACGGCTCTGTGCACAGATATTGGTTTCGCGCACCATGCCCTGCATACGTTTGTACTGAGCTATTTGCTGCATGTGCGACGTATCCATTTGGTCGGCCAAATAGGCGCTCGAGAATTGATCCGCCGCGACACGGACGAGCAGGTGACGCCCTTCTCGCAGAACTTGGTGGCGAAAAAAGCAAACTCGAGACACGGCCGTCAGCGGCATCTCGTCTTCGAGAAGAGGCTCGACTTATATGATGACGGGGATACAACAACGCGTCATGATTAGCGAATGAACCCTCCACCACTGAAGACACAGGAGACCGGTCGTGCGGGTGCTCAACACCGCAAGCACATATCATGCAAACGGCCAAGCGGCACAAACATCGAAACCCAACATAACGATACCCTAATCTTTGGGCTGTAGACTGTGCTACAAGGAGCGAGAGGGAGAGAGTGCGCAATCGCTTGCGGTTGTGTGTTATTGACAACGTCGTTGGGACGATCGAAGATCGTGGGGCCCGGCATTCATTGGCCGACATGATGATCGGCGCTGGCACCTCTCCGCGCCTCTGCAGAACATCACTCAACGACACCCTTGCATTTCATTGGTCAAAATTGCTTGTTTATTCTTTTGTCGCGCTTTTGTACAAATCATCTTGTGAATTGTATGCCGACTCAAAAAATGCGACGCTGCACCAAATCGCGCCTTCGTGGGACGTCACCACCCGTGAAATAGTGTATTTAATTGCTCTATTTTATAGTGTACATTTGATACCAGAGCACTCAGCATCATCACCAGGGACTCGCATGCTCGTGCTTCAACAAGAGCTACAACAAAAGAAAGTGCTAGGTTTCGTACAGGTCAGGGTCTTATTGGTGATCTCTCGTCTGACAGTCGAATAGCCGATTGCTAAGTGTACGTGGCGAACAGTATTTCCGTCGGACTGGCGCATAGACCCGACACCACAAGCTTTACTCATATCTTAGCTTGGCCATCCGCAGTTTCCGGATACGCTCCATGGTGGTGACACAGCGCCTGGCCCGACGTCTCACGGCGGCGCGGGCGACGCTCCAGCGCGGCCATAGCCATCGGGCGATGGCACTGCCAGCACTACGCTCTTATAGCGAGCATGTTCATTCAAATGCTTCCTTCGCAGTGGCAGCAGCAGCGACGTTGGCCATGGGCTCTTGGATGAGTACAGAACTCAAGGCGTGTGTTGCGCTCAGGCCATCATCGCGTAGGCTCGCGGGACGAGTGGGCGAGCATGAAAGCGGCACCGCCCTTGACACGCAACTTCATCGCAGACGCTGTCGAGAAGGCCGCTCCTGCCGTTGTCAACATCACGATTGACTATGGGCATTTGCAGGGCGGGAGCTCTGGCTCGGGCTTCATTCTCGAGCGCAGCGGCCTCATTGTCACCAACGCCCATGTCGTGGCGCATGCGGGTCCGCACGCGAGCATCAAGGTACGACAGTCCGACATGCATAGACGGCGATAGAGCCGAGGCTGCATAGGTGACGCTCGCCAACGGCGCTAGCTACTCGGCCCGTGTACATAGCATGGACGCACTCACCGACTTGGCCTTGGTGCAACTCGACAATGGTGCGTGCGCCTGATCGTGCCGTCCGAGACGATGTAATGAATGTAGGATCCTCGCTGTCGCTACCCACCATGCAGATTGGCTCGTCGGGCGCGCTGCGTGCCGGCGAGTGGGTCGTCGCCCTTGGAAGCCCGTTGACGTTGCAAAACAGCGTGAGCGCTGGTATCGTGAGCGCGGTCGCTCGCCATGGCTCCGAGATTGGGTATACCCTTGTGCCTTGCGAAATTGAAAGGCTTACCCAGCGTAGGCTCTCGAATCGGCGCAACCACACCGAGTACATTCAAACGGATGCCGCCATCAACTCGGGCAACTCGGGCGGACCGCTCGTCAACCTCGACGGCCAAGTCATTGGCATCAACGCAATGAAAGTTGCGGGCGGTACGCAACTCAGTTTGTATCGTTGAACCGCATGTGACCGTGTGGCAGGCGTCAGCAACATCTCGTTTGCGATTCCCATCGACACGGCCATGGACGTCATCGAGCAGCTGCGCAAGCGAAAGACCGTGACGCGCCCGTACGTGGGCATGCAAATGGTCCAGTTCAGCCCCGGCGTGCTCCCTGAAATCTCCAAGTCGGTGCTTGGTCGCCGTCCACAGTGTGGCTCATGCCTCGTGTAGGATCTACCCGGATCTCAAAAGCGGTGTCGTCGTCAAGTCGGTGACGCCAGGATCCCCGGCCGCGATTGGCGGCCTCCTGCCTGGTACGTCGCCACAACCCGATGCATGACTAGATAGTACGATGCGGGTGCTAGGAGACGTCATTGTCGAATTTGCCGGCACTCGCGTCGAGACCATCAAGGATGTAACCACCGCCCTCGGCTACAACGTGGGTCAAAATATGTGCATGAAGGTTCGCCGAGATGGGAGCGCGAACCCGCGCGTCTTTTGCTTTGTGACGCAGGACGCTAGCCACCGAGGCGCGCCAACGTCGTCGCTGTGGTAGTACCCAGCCAAGACACTTGTAGAAGCCTAGCACCAAAAGCATGTTTCCGTTGTCGCCGACAAAAAGTATCCCATTTGCGGTGGGTGGCGTCCATTGCATTCGATCCTTGGACTGCGTCAAGTGCTCGAGAATCGACGTCCACTGCACAACAATGCGCCCCGCGACGTGAGAGATCGTAGCGCGCCATGTGTGTTGCCTGAAGCACCGTCGCGTATGGAGACGCTTTCATTAGCAGTGTACGAGGTATCGCAGCGAGCCAACAGTAACAGCTAGCTCCAGTAATCCAGACGCTTGAGAAGCGGGGAGCTGAGCAATGACCAAGTCGGACGATCCAGGATATTTTACTAATCAACGGAAACCAAGTATTTGTGGCCACGATGAGAGAAATGGGATTCCGAACATCACACAATCGCTCACACGCACACACTTGCCAAGGGTAGAGACAAGGTCGGCGTGAAATCGAGGATGGCCAAACTGGCTTTGGCGCGTCGCAGGTAGGAATCCTCGCATGAACGCCTCGGATAGACTCCCGAAAGGGCGCCGCGCAGTCGAATCACGACGCTGCGTTAAAGGGCTTGCCACGTGCAATGTTGCGAGTCATGTTTTCGACACGCTTCCAATGTCATAGTAAACGCGCTACTTGCTCGTTGGTCACTCGTGAAAAGACACCTACACTGGCCCTCTCCGACGTGCACACGAGTTTGCGTTTTGGAGTGACGTCACATGGCGTTACAATCGTCACATGGCGTTACAATCGTGGGATGTGGTGCAACGCGCTGAACCAGCGTTGTAAACACATGTTAAACGTAGGGCTGCGGTGGCTCGGCCCCATTTGTTTTCCAAAGACACAAGATACACTAGTAGGATACTTGTCGGATTTGGTGTAGAGTGGCTGCATGCAATGTCCGTCGTACGATGATCGACGTGTGGTTTCGGCGATTTCGTAGGGTCATCACGGAACGAAGGCGCAAGGCCGCGCTGATCGAGCTGCTATGTGAGTAGCTACCGCTTGAGACCAGCATTGCGCTGGCGATACCGGTACGGCCGACACCCTTGGTTTGCAGTAACGAGCTTTTCGAACGTTGCATCTTGCGCACCACCGACGATACCCTCGCGATGCGCTCGCCATGCGTGCACGGCAAAAGAACCATCGTCGCCAGCCTCGTAGAGCTGCTAGACATATTATTCCATTCTACGACTAGAGTTACTACAACTAAAGTTATTACTTCATTGGTTTCGAATGCGTTGCTCCGAGTATCTCAAATAGAATCGACGCGCAATCGAGTCCTGAGCTAGCGACCAAGTATACTGTATTAGTACACTGGTAGCTTTCGACATGGATGCAGCCCAATGCAAACGAACTAAATCAGACCCACCGGACCCATAAGCTGATCCATGCGACGGACGCATGCGCTCGGTGCCGATATGGCAACCATCAATCCTACAAAGCACCAGAGCTGATCGTCGTTTCGTCAACACTCGAAAGCAAACTGCCTCATACTTTACTCAATACACCTGCGAAATGTCGATAATGCACGACGACGTGCTTTTGTCGATCGCGGGCTCACGCAGCTCAACTGCGTTGGGAATCCTGTGATCGGCTGCTACCTTGGGTGGTCAAGCAGTGGTACGACGCAATGAGATGGCGTCCGTTGGGTGCTAAAAAGACGTTGACCAAGAGCGTTCGGAGTGACCTTACCCAAAGGCCCCACTATACCGGTATGTGCAACTGCTGGCGAATCAACTATGGACAGGACCATGGCGGCAATGCTCATTGGAGTCATCTTCACTTGCATTTGGCTCATTACAAGTCATCGCGGTTGCTTTAATGGAAGAGCTTACCACTCGTTACGTCAGTGCCTGAAAAACAGGTTTGGCGCCCTGGGTACACGGTACTGCTTTCTCTTTCTTCGAGGTACCCACGGTATGGACCTTGATTCTTGGCGCGACGGTCTCTCATTGGCTTAGATTCCTCCCACGCCCCGTTGCTCACCGCTTCAGCTGTCGTCGGATGTGTCCCAAGGCGGCGGCGCCCTTTCTATCGACCGCTGTATGCACTGGAGCCTCTTCACGATCCACGGTGTCGCTCCCACACATCTGTTTCATGATCATGCCTGTGGACCAGATGGTTGTTCACAGTAGGACAATGATTTTCCGACTTTGCACTTCATGTTTGTATGGCACCGCCGTGCATGATTACTCCAATACTCGTCCCAGAGGTCACGAGTACACTGGATCTGGCATCGGTTCGAGCGCTCGTGATCGTGTCGTTTCGGTTGTGGTCACATCTCAATTGCGCACGCCCAGCACAGACCGCACCGTCAACATGCACGCTCTGGACTACTACTCGGAGGTGCCGTACCAACCGTACGGCTACATCAACTACTGCCCGCCGCGCATCAATTACGAGCTCAAGTGCAAATATGCCTTCAAGAGCTGCCCCAACACACGCTCGGCCAAGAAGAACGGCGAGATGCACAAGCTCTGCGAGTACCACCGCCGGAAGGCCAACAACGTGCAAAAGTTCTATGCGCGCCGGAAACGCCACGCCAAGAGCTTAGAGCAAGGCAAGAGCCAGCCGCAGACGCCCGCCTCGGACTCGGACTCGGGCGACGACGTCAAGTCGCCGTGGGCCAACATGACGTTGGAGCCGCTGCCGTTTCTGGCCACGAACTGGTCCAAGGCAGACCCACTGGCGTACGACGACTGCCTCATGCTGATAAAGATTCTGACCTAGAGGCCATAGCAGTGGCCCAAGTGATTATCTAAGAATTCATGTACAATATTAATATAGAGCTAGGTTTATGAACCATTCATTCCATCGTGCAAACGATAGTATGTCGGCAAAGCCTTCCTTATTTATGGCAAAATACTAACTAGGATGGGATTCTCAAGGTCGAGACGGATGGAGGGACCTTGCTGAGCCCGTCGCCATGGGTCTTTCTCTAAGTCGTACCCCGATTCGACTACTGCCACAAAGAGACCTGGCGCCGTCGCCTACATGGTCCAACAAACCAGTGAGAAGAAATTGCTAGTCTCTACGTGCGCAAAGTCCTTATAGCACGAAGATAACGCGAAACGCATTGACGTACGTACTGCATTTGGACATATTAGAAAGCGCGCGCTCCATGAGTTCTTCCAAGTACAGGGACAGCAACAACCGGTACATGTGATGGCTACCCGTACTTGGCACCAAGTTGATGTGCCCTTGTCCCTGCGAGCTAGTGTTTGCGTGTATATGGCCATCGCCGTGGTTAAAGACGAACGAGTATGTGTCGCTCTTCTCAACGACACCATATCTGCTGATCCAAGCGATTGGCTCGAAAAAGCACGAGGTTTACACGAGAACAATCTGCGTGGTTGTACATAGCAATGGTACATACTCTTGGTGTGTTGCTTACTGCGGTTTACAGGAGCGACTGGTTTCGAGCACCCTTGCACGCGATTCTATTTGTTCGCTTCGATTCCTAGACGCGCCTTTCGGCGAGCTCGGACAAAGTGGCGTTCTCGCGACAGAGCTTGAGTCCTGTTGCGCCACCACCAGCTTGCAAATGAATGAATCGTTCCGAAATGGCTGCTGCTCTTTCAAGTCTCGCCTGCGCTCGTCCTGTAGGAACGTCGCAGCCATGCTGGCTTGGCCGAACGATTCTTGTGATCGCATCCGACGTCCCATACCTTGCCACGCGACAAGCCCGCAGTACCGTAGCATGTCTGATATCTAGACTGCCCACGCGTTGCAAAGCACAGCCAACGACTACTTGTATTCTTTGGAGGATGGTGTCGATGAATACCGGTACTTGGCATCCGTGAGAAAACGCGCAGAGAAGGCCACGTGTCCTGTGGGATCCCGCTTGAAGATGAGACGAGGTCTCAGCGGTTGCGAGGGGTAGGCCTCCGTACTTCAATTACACGAAAAACATCTTGACAGATACCAATCAATAGTTTGTGCCAATCAATTCACGCGAAATTGATCGAGTGTGAAACGGTCAGCTCCAGTCCAACTCGGCCGTTGCGTCGCCGAGGGTTTCAGCAGACGCAGACGAGCACACCGCCCTTGTTACCGATACCGTCGGTACGAGGTGGAGAGGTGAGAAAGTGAGAGGGTCGCATGATAAGCCCGACGACTGCATCGCCATGCTGCAACACTGCAAGTTCCACGTTGATTTCAACCCTGATCAAGCATCGCGCATGTCTACAAAAGCTGTTGGCGGGAATCAGCTCTGCGCTCTTCGTATAAAAGGGCGGTCGCGTTGGGTGCGGCGTCGATCACGTACAATGTATACTGGTATTGCTATTATTCCAGCCCTCCAACACCAGAGACGCTGGCGAGGCGTGTGTGCATAACCAGGTTGGACTTCGTCTCTTTTTGCGACGATTGGTTGACCTCGAGAGGTCACATGCGAATGCAACGGGTCGACTTGTGCCTGCTTGATCTTGCCACGAACGAGCGACTTAGAGCCGGGAATGGCGTCACTGCTCGTTGGATAGGCATCTCGGGTGCCGCCGTATTACGCGATGCGTTCGTGTCATCACCACAGCACTACATAGCGCACCCGGATGCCCGCGACACCCTCCGCAGCGCCAAAGATACGCTTGAAGACATCATATCCAAGCGCGTTGCTTCGATGGCTGCGAACGGTTGATGGGGTGCGTGCTACAGTACACGCTGGGTAGTTGCAGCCATGGTGGTACCCTAGCGTGGCTCGCCTTTGGCTGTTGCAGGATGGGTGGCCGCTGCCACCGTGGTCGCGTTGATCTGGTCGCGACACGCCGCAGTCGATCGCGGACGGTGCCTGTCGGTGCAGCTCGTCGTTGATGTACTTGATTGCTCTCTGCACCGCTTGCAGTGCCGAGCGCGTGGCGTCTGAGAGGTTCTAAAATGAGTCACTTTCCAGCCCGCGTACAGTGTATGTCGACGACGACGTCTGGGTTCTCGGAACACCGCTTCCTGTGTTGGTCGCCAACTTCAGGAAAAGCTGCCACGCCAACACAAAGCACGAAGTGTCCATTTATGCCACCGATCCTTGCGTCCGCGGCAGCAACTCGAGTCTACGCGACGGTCTTGATCACATTGCTGCACGGTCCACACTGTCTCGGCTATGTCGAGGCAACGGCACCTCGGCTCGCAAAGTCTACGTACACAACGTTGGGACACGTTGCGACGCAGACATTCGACAGCTTGGCCTCGCCACCACGCGATCTGTAACACACGAGCTTGGCCTACACAGCTGGTAGGCGTCGACGGCGGCCGTATGGTCCAAAGTAGCCCCTTCGTCGTCAACACCCGCTGCAGTAACTCGCCGATAGGACGCGCATGGCGAGAGGTTCAGAGCTCAGTGTCGCAGCGTGCTGTGTGGCCGTCAAGACAGCATTACGCGTTCGCCCAAGACATGTCTGGCGTACGATTGATTCAACATCTCATCACGCGACTCGTTAAACGCGCCAAACACAAACCGACGCCGTAAAAGGTCGACCCTGTTACGCTCGTGGACGTGAGTAATTGGGCTAAATCTGTAGCACCAAACCAGAAACAAGGTTGGACAAGTTGCATTTCCGATTTCGCCGGTTGCCTCCACAATGCTCATGGAGTCACACGCCGCGATGTACTACCCCAACAGCCCATATTACTACCACAATAGTACGACGATGGCACCGCCGCCGCCGCGCAAGTCGCCGTACGAGCTCAAGTGCAAGTACGCCTTCAAGAACTGCACCAACGTTCGTAGCCAAAAGCGCACGGGCGGGCTCCACACGCTCTGCGAATTCCACCGGCAAAAGGCCAACGAAATTCAAAAGGCATATGCACAAAAGAAGCGACTCAACCCCAAGCCGCCGTCGCCGTCGCAGCCGACAAGCGTCGAGCCCATCCCGTTCAGCGACGGGCGCACCGACGAGGCGGCTATCGCGTTTGAAGACTGCTTGGACCTGATACGCCTCCTCCGATAGCCGATTCGAGTGGCGCGGCAGCTACTTATATACTACTGTACTACATCCTTTTTCCATGTCATGCACTACTAGTAGTTAATTAGTTTAGCGCGAAATGCGATATCGTGCTCGCAACAGTATCGAAACGACGCTTCGATGGACCGCAAAGCATCAACGACTGGCGCATTCGATAGAACCTGCCCACGACAATGCAGTTGTAGCGCGATTAGCTCAAAACATCTGAGCAGGAAGGCCCAAGGGCACGTGGTTCGTAAGGTGTTAGCGTACGTTATTTTTTCTACGGCGTCGCCTTTTGCATGGCAGCCATCAGCTGCAAGCGCAGCGCACGCGGCGCCACGTCCAAGCACGACTGCTTCTCGTTGTTCAACGCGTTGGGCTTGGCGCCATACTCGAGGAGCAGGCGCGCCATTGCCTCGTGGCCCTCTAGAATCGCAATGTGCAGCGGTGTGTTGCCTATGTAAATCGTATATGGCTGAGAGCGTATTCACAAAGAATGTGGTACCGTGGATGTCCTTGGTGTTGAGCTTGGCATTGTGGTCGAGGAATTGGACGACGATATCTACACCCGCCGTCACCACCCGGCCTCCATCGTACGACCCTTAGTATAGTAGTAGTACCTGGAGCTGGCCGGCCACCCAGAGCGCGCATCAACGGCGTCGAGCCAGACCGGTCCTGTAGCCAGCAAGAGCGAGATCACGTCGGATGCACGGCAACATCATGGCGTACCGCCGTGTTGATGTCGTTCGTGACGTCAAGAAGTAACTCTGTCATTTCCGGGCGACCTGGTCGACAGTCCAAGAACAAACCAAGATTGCACACGGTGTACCTTTGTGGTAATGCAGCGGAATCTGGCCATTCTCGTTGGCAAGGTTCGGATTCGCGCCCCTGACCACAGTATTCTGCGTCAACCTCGGACGATGCACGGAATGCTTGCGTACTTGGAGAGGAGGAAGCTCACCATCTCGACATGGCCCGCAGACACGGCGCTCATCAAGGGCGTCCAGCCCGAGTCGTCCTGGTGGTTGATCTTGGACAGACCCACCAAGAGGTCGGCCACGTCCATGTGGCCACCCGCGGCCGCCCAATGGAGCGCCGTCCGCTCGTCTTCGTCGATCGCATTGGGATCATAGCCACGCGCAAGAAGCTTCTGCACCTCCTGGCCGGCCATCGACCTTATATACAGCGGGACGGTTCAGAGGACGACGCACCTCGAGGTTGCCGGCGCGGGCCGCGTGCACAAGCGATGCCATGGTTGGACTGTTTTCCGGATACTGGGTGGTCATCCGGATACGACGCACGGATAGTGTATCCGGATCCACCGCCTTCTGGTTGTGATTCCGGCATGTCACGACGTTGCCATGTGAGCGCCGATGCACGAGCCTTGTGCCCAATGCTCGTCCTATACGGGCGTGTACCAATATCTATCTATCTATATTGGTATTTGTGAGGTCGGACGGGTACCCGTGATGATGCGTTTGGCTTCCTCGATTTGCGGCCAGCGCGTCTCTATTCACCGCAGCGCGTGCAAACAGAAGATCAAGATGAGGGTACACAGCAGTGTAGCGTGACAGAACACCGAGCTCCATTGTCCTTTCTAGATATACGCGCCGAAATGATCGCAAGGCTTGAAGACTTGGGTGCGGCTCGTCCTCTTGCAGATCGACAAAGATTCTGTTGTCGCGCATATAGCCGGCGCCGCGAGGAAGAATGCACCCAAGAAGCTCTGGCCCAGTCTCGTAATCGGTTATTCGCTTAGTCTTGGGTGTCAACGCTGACTTGTTCAAGAGCGACGATGCACAATCTTGGTCGCGTGGCTCATCGCTCTGGAGCTTCAAGCCGTACACCGGGGCACGTCTTTGGACCCAGCAGCCAATCCGCGGCGTTGAACTCGACCAGATTTTCGACCAATGGGAGCGCTTCTTTGGGGGGCATCTTTCCTCGGTTGTCTTGCCCAAAGTTGCTTGATTGCGAAGTCGGACCAAGCATGGCGAAGGCAGTGATCTCGTCGGTAGGACCTCCATGAGGACATGGGACCGACGTCTCATGCGGATGCTGCTGAGGTAGATCCTGCAGTCGCAGCTCGGTAAGTACGTCGATGGGCTTGCGCCCGAGTCCCTCCAAGTCGGGCTCTGGAGCGGCGAGCTCCTATTGACGAACCTCAAGCTCAAGCCGCTCGCGCTTGCGGAGCTCAACCTCCCGATCAAGGTGCTGCAGGGGACGATCGCCAAGGTCCACGTCGTCGTGCCATGGAACCAGCTCGGGTCGGCCAGCGTTCAGGTTACGCTCGAGGGCATCTACGGCGTCGCGATCCCCAACACCGAGGTACAACCCGATACAACCCATCTAGATTCTTCGATGCTCATATGCATGTAGCTCCCATCGCCGGAAGAAGTCTTGCTTGGCATACGGAACCGCCTCGAGCGTGGAGAGCTGATGCGGCAGCACACGCTGCAGACGAGCAGCAGCGGTACGTCGTCTGACCCCAAGGAAGACGAGAGCACGTTCCTAACGCGCCTCACGACCCGGATCATTGACAACCTCCAGATTACGATCAAGGACCTCCATATTCGGTACGAAGATACCGTGTCCAACCCGTCGCTGCCGTTCACGTGCGGCCTCTTTCTCGAGCGCTTCTCGCTCGAGACGACCGACGCCAACGGGCGCAAGATCTTTGTCGACAACACGGCGGGCGAGAAGAAGGGCTTGACGCATAAGGTCGCGCAGGTGAAGAACCTCGCGCTCTACTGGGACCGGCTCGACCCCGCCGACTCGATGACGCGCCAGTCGGCGGCGTTCGAAGCTGCGATGCGCCGCGTCATTTACGCAACGTCAGCCTTTGCCGAGACGGACCGTCACTGGCTGCTCGTGCCGCCCTGTACCGTGCGCGTGCGTCTCACGAAGAACGAGAGCCGTATGTACTCGCAGACGTCGCCCAAGTTTGCCGTCCACGCCGAGGCGATTGGTGTTGCGTTTGGCCTGAGCCGAGAGCAGTACGACGACATGCTCTTCATGCACAAGGCGTTTTTGAGTCGGCGCGCGGTCGAGGCGCACTTTTGGGAGCACCGCCACCGCCCGTTCTTGCCGTTGCGGCAGTACCCGGTCGTGTGGTGGGACTACGCGACGCGCTTCATCATTGCCACGTCGACCGGAAAAGCTACGTCGCGCTTCCGCTGGTCGGTGGTCAAAAAGATGGCGCGGGACCGTAAAATGTACGTTGCGCTCTACAAGCAGCAACAGTTGGCCAAGACCCCCGCGCTCTCGCTCGATCAATCGGCGTATGTACAGAGCATGGAGGATGCTTTCCCCATGGAGCTCGTGCTCCGTCTCCGCGAAGTCGCCGAGGCCCAGTTTGCTGCGCAGAAGAAGGCGACACCGGCCCCCGCTGCGTCGTCTTCGTGGTATGGCTACTTTTTCGGGGACGCCAGCGCGTCGACAGCAAGCGCCAACGACGTGCTCACGGACGCGGGCAAAGCCGACCTCAAGCGCGCGTATGAAGAGACGGTGGCGCTGGACGAAGCAGCGCTGCCAGTCGACTGCTTCCTCCTCACGATCGACATCGCGCTGCGCGACGGCCGCGTCGGTTTGTATGGCTACAACAATACACCACTGCTCTCGTCGGCCCTCACGGGCTCGATTGGCGTCCAGGTCCAGCCCGACGAATCGTGGACGTCGCAAGTACAGCTCGATCGCCTTGAGATTGCCAACCACCGCGTTGACGCTTCGTGTGCGAGCCGAGCATTCTGCACGCTGCGCCAAGGCAGCAGCGATGTGCCGTTTGCGCTGCGTGTCGCGATGCCGACGCCGACGACGCTTCACGTGCGGCTGAGCGCCGAGCCGCTCCAATTTGTGCTGGACCCTGTCTTTCTCTTGCTTTTGTACGACTTTTTCTGCGGCTCGGTCGCGCAGCGTCAGCTGAATGACGTCTGGGCGTTCGCAACGAGCTCCGTCCAGTCGTACGTCTTTGCCGAGCAGGAGGAGGCCGATATGCTCGCGGCCATCTCGGCGGCCGAGACGATGAAGTACGATGTCATTGTGGATATGAAGGCACCGGTGCTGCTGCTCCCGGAAGACGCCACGAGCGATACGTCGGCCGTCGTCGTGCTCGACTTTGGCCGACTCAAGCTCACGGACGTCGCACCGTCGTCGGCGCACGTGCACACGTGGCAAGTCGAGCTCAACGAGATGCAAGTTCTTTTGCACGGCGAGAACGGGTTTGCGCCAAACGACCCCGGCGTTGCTTTGGTGCCGCGCTTCAACATGGCGTGTCGGGTCGATAGCATGGTCCGCGAGATGGCCGGCAAGCCGCTCCTCTCGATGCACGCCTCGCTGCCCGCGATTAACGTGGCCATGTCGGAAGAGTCGCTCGCGCAGCTCGGACGCATGCACGCTGCCATCTACCTGCAGTGCCAAGCTGTGATGGCACAAACCCGGCCGCCCGACATCGAAGATGACGATGGCGCAGGTGCTGTCGTGGCCGCTCCCGTGCCGCGCAAAACGAGCAGAGACAGCCATGCGATTGCTCTCACGTGGGACATTGATGCCATTGACATCGCGCTCGCCGACTCGTTCCGCGTCCTGCTCACGGGCACGTCGTTTGGCTACGATCTCTACGGGTCCAAGACGTCGGCCGTCGCCAAGTTGCGGGCGTTCTCGGTCGAAGACAAGGCCCACGCACCGTCGTCGCCGTACTATTATCTGGCCAAGACTCCCGATACGTCGTCGCATTTGATTCACGCGTCATTGGTCTCGAGCCAGAGCCCGGACCGCGCCGCGGATACGGTCATCACAGCCGACTTTCAAGTGCTCGAGATGCAGTGGAACCCATCATCGATCGTTGTGCTCAACTCGCTCGTCTCCACGTATACGTCGAGCCTCGTTTTGATTGCGCCGCCGCTACCGCACGCCACGAGTCTCAGCGCGTCGACACTGGGTGCGTCGATGGCACGGTCGCGGATCCCGTCGCTGCTAGTGACAGCGACCCTCGAACAGTTTAGCGTGTCGCTCAACAAGGACTCGCGTGACCGGCGACTCGTGACGCTCTCGATGACGAACGCGTCCTTGCACATGACGACGCAGAGTGACGCGTCGTACACGATCGACGGCACGCTCGGGAACTTTCTCGTTGAAGACCACAGCGTGCAAAAGCATTCGATGTACAACCCGTTTGTGGGCCTCGACCCGGCCGCGACGACGACACAGCTTCTTTCGTTTGCATATGTCGTGCCGCCAGCCCCCGCGCTTCCAACGCTCGACGCGTGCCTCGACCATGTGCGCATCGTCTACGTCCATCAGCAAGTGCTCGAGCTGGTCGATTACCTCTTCCAAGGCGTCCTCGGGTCTCTTGTGAATGCGACGCTCATGAATGCGACGCAGCTATTGCTCAAGGAAGAGCCGTCGGCGCTAAAGCTGCATGTGAACCTCGTCGAGCCGCGCATTGTGATTCCAATGCATCCAATGGACACCCAGCACTTGCTCCTCGCAGCGACGTCGCTCGAGCTCTCGCACGTCCCGGCGTCGACGGTTGTCTACGACGATGGCCGTGTCGTGATTGTTTACGAGGGCGAAGGAATGCCAGCGGATGTCAAGCACGTCGTCTTGGACCAAGTGATGCTTTTTGCAACGACGAAAACTGCGGGCGAGTACGCGCCCGTGCTTGAGACGCCGCTACAGCTCGATATTGCGATCAAGGACGTCGTGTCGACGACGCTCGTCATGAGCGACGGCGTCGTCCTCCCGCGTTTTAGCATCGAGTGCGTCATGCCACGCTTGCACATGCGTCTCTCAAAAGCCGTGTATGTCATGCTCGTGCGCGTGCTCCAAGAGAACATTGGCGCGGCCACCTTGATTGACGGCGCGACGACGGGCTCTGCGTCCATCTCGGACGTGTACCGCCCCATCGTCGCCTACGACTATGCGCGCACCGACCTGGAAATGCTGACGATGCGGCTTTCGTTCTCGATGGCGTCGTTTGCATGTGCGCTCGAGGACACGGACTTGCTTTTGACGGCGTCCGACCTTGACGTCGGTCTCGTCCTGCTCCAAGATCAGAGCCCGCGCATCGAGGTTGGGCTCGCGACCTTTGGCGCGTCCGAGAAGGCGCGCGACTGGTTGTCGTCCAGCGGCCAAACACGCATGCAGTACGCGTGGGACGATGTCAAGCGGTCGTGCAGCCTCGATCTCGACGTATCGAACGTGTCGGGCACGGTGGTGCCGAGCGCTCTCTTGACGCTGGTTCAGTTTTTCCATCTGGACGCTGCGATGCTCCAGTCGAATGCGAGCAGTCCCGCGCCGACCGCCGACGCCGAGTACGAATTCCATGTCCAGCTGCACGCGTCCAAGGTCGGGCTGCACTTTCCGTCCGACTTGGCCGATCATAGTCGTCCGCTTTTGGCGATCGAGTCGGACTTTGCCATTGCGTTCGACTCGTACCCGCCCGACCGCAACGAAGCGACGCCCATGGCCGTTGTCATTGAGGCCACGCAGTTTGAGGCCTACCTTCGCAACACTAACCGGCAAGGCTGCGCGACCTCGTTCGTGCAGCTCATGGAGCCGACGAATCTCCGCATGAAGTACCAGTTCTTCACGCACGCGCAAGAAAAGATGGAGGTGTCCATCAGCACGGTCACGGTCTTTGTCTCGTATGAAGACACGCAGCTCTTGTCGACGGTCGTTCGCGCGCTATCGGCGGATGTTGCGATGACGTCGCACGCGTCGTCACTGCCGTCGATGGAACTCAACTTTGTCAAGGAGACGCAGCGTCACATGACGTGGGACGTCCAGAGCATGCAGCTCACGCTCATCAACGACTGCGACGGCTGCGACATGGGTCTCCTTCAGCTGCGACTGCCGACGTGCCGCCTGTTTGTGAACGCGGCGACGACATTCGAGAGCTCGACCGTCACGGGCGGCGGCGACCTCTCGTTCGAAGCCACGTACTACAACCCGGATTCGCGCACGTGGCAGCCGCTCTGCGCCGAGTGGAAGCTCAACGCGACCGTCATGTCGACGCTGGGCCACGTCTCGAGCGACGCCAACCTCAACAGCATGCAATGGACTGTCTCGGCCGACCCGCTCAATGTCTCGGTGACGCACGGCTTGCTCGAGGCTCTGGCGTCTGCGGGCGAAACGTGGGCCAACGGCAAGCACGACCGGTCGCTGCAGGCGCCGTGCACGATCGTCAACGAGTCGGGGCTGCCGCTGCGCTTTTGGTGGAGTGCCAACGCACACGACGTGCAAGTCGTCGACCACGGCAGTAGCGCTTGCATTCATTACGTGCACGTACAAGGCAACGGGTCGGGCGTCACGCGCACGTACACGTCGCAGCAGCGCGAGCAAGGCACCGTGTGCTTGGACCTCGTTGGTCTCGGGTGTCAGCCCGTGCAAGGTTCCCTTCTTGTCACACGTTCGGCAGCGCCTCATGCTCGCTGTGTGTAGGCATTGTGGCTGAAGAGCTCGGGACGCACGCGCACTCGCTTGTGGAGCTGTCGGGTGGCCTCTCCAACTTCAAGTACGCGGTCCTATGTGAAAAGATATCTTGACATGTGTGTTTTTGGTAGGGTTACCTGCACGTCGCAGCTCGTGGGGGGTCACATTGTACTCACCATCTCTTCGCACGTGCGCATTCACAGCCACGTCTCGGAGAAGGTCCAGCTACTGGTGTACGACCCGAGCTGGAATGCGCCAATGGACATTGGCACGGTCGCACCGGGAGACAGCATTGCGCTGCCCGTCATGTACTCGCTTGGGTACTGTTCTCTTGCGCATCCTCGTGCCTTTGCGATGCGTGTGTCTGTGTAGATCGGAGATTCGCTTGCGCTGCCTCGGCAACGACTGGAGCTTCTCGAGTCCGATTCCACTCGACATGACGAGCGCCAGCCTCACCGTCTCGTGCACGCACCCGACCCAAGTCGCCTTCTTTTGCGTCTCGTTTGAGCAAGGCCATGTGCACTTGTACGACCCGCTCACGCTCGAAAACAAGTGCCCCCTGCCGATTACGTTTCAAGCGCGGGACGGCAGCCGCGGCGTGGCGCGCGGGGAGACACTTTCCGTGGGCGCGACGGCGGGCATTTGGTGGGCAATGCACCAGCCACTGTTTGCGCTCGATGTGCCAGGGTGCGATATCTCGTCGTGGTTGCCGCTCAAGAAGGACAACCTCAAGCCCTTCTCGCTCGTTGTGCGGCGCCGCGGCGACCGTCGGCCCATGACGATCCTTGTCGCGCTGCGCGAAAATGCGGCCAAAGCGCTCACCATCTCGCTCTACGCGGACGTGTGGCTCATCAACCGCACGGGCGTGGACCTCGCGTTCGGTAACGAGGTCGACGACGAGTGCTACCGCCCGTCATCCGAGGCCCAGAGCATCATTGACGACGCGCCCATGACCATGTACTCGTCGGGTGAGTCACCCGCGCTGCTGCGCGTGCGTCATGGCAACGCCAAGTGGAGTGCGTATGTGAAAGCGGACCCGCGCCGCATGAATTGGCAGGACGAGTGCCTCAGCGTTGCGTCCAACGGCCGCCTCTACGAGCTTGGCGTCTCGGCCGACTATGCGACGCGGCACTTTGGCGTCCTCACGACGATCGTGACGCTGACGCCGCGGTACCTCTTTGTGAACCGGTCGCCGTGGACCATCATCTTGCTCGAAGACGACGGCGCGCTTCCGTCCAACTTGACGCACGTCGACCACATGGTACCGCCGGGCGACTCGTATGCGCTCTACTGGATGCAAGGCGTGCGCCGCCGTCTGCGTGCGTCGGTCCTTGACTGCCCCGGGCAGTCGAGCTGGTCCGAGCCTTTTGGCATCAACGAACTGCGCACGATGGAGCTCCTCGTGCCCAACGACGTGAGCTGCCCGATTCTTCAAGTCGTCGTCAAGCAAGGTGGGCTCACGCAGTCGACATACGTCATCGATATGGTCAACTTGGACCTCGAGCCGCTGCCCGAGACGAAGGCGCCAACGTGGGATCTTGTGACCGTTGACGTCAAGGTACAACCTCCATCGTACTGTGCGATGACATACACGACCATTGTGCACAGGTGGCGAGTGTGACAATGACGCTCCTCGACACGTCCAAGGAAGTCGACTTGTTTACGGGTCCCGTGTTGGAAGAAGTGGCGCGGTTTAAGATTTTCAACATTCGCATGGACCTCTTCAAGGACCGCGTCAACGCCCAGGTACTGATTGCACTCGCCTGGAAGAGCAAACGCGTTGCTCATCCGATATGATGTTAGAGCCACTTGCGCATCGGCTCGATGGCGTTGCAGGATCTCTTGCCGCGCACCAAGTACCCTCTCGTCGTGTCGCCTTCCAAGTCGTCGTCGTCGCGCGACTTTATCGTGGTCGCGTACAAGGACAAGGTCCACCCCAAGTACCACTATATCGAGTCGCTCGAGGTGTACGTGCAAGACGTGTCGCTCCAGACGTCCATGTCGTTTGTCAACCGCATCAACGGACTCATCACCGAGACGCTGGGCCATTTTACCTCGGCGCGGTCGCTGGACCTCGTTGCGTACTTCAACAACGACGACCTTGCATCCCTCACCGGTCGCAAGTGGTTTTTCGAGCGCCTCGCGATTCGCCCGATCCACGCCACGGTCTCGTTTGTCAAGGACGCGAGCTCGGGCGACGCGACCAACTTTTGGCTCGCGAACCTCAAGCTCAAGATCAAGGACGCGTCGCTCGTGCTGGATGGTTACACGCTCGCAAACGCGCTCGCGACGCAAGAGTCGGTGCTCGAAGCGCTCAGCCGCTTCTACGTCGGGTCGGTGAAAAGCCAAGCGCTGGGGCTGGTCGAGTCGATCCAAGTCATCCCGCTCGTCACGGGCGTTGTGACCGAAGGTGTCTCGACACTGGTCTCGACGCTGTGGGGCAAGGCCGATAGCACCCTCGCGTCGTCATCGTTTCGGCGCGAGTCGCTTTCCAACAGCGCGATCGTGTCCAAGCACAGCAGAGGTGTTGCGTCAGTCGCGTCGCCGGCCCAGCTCCAAAACGTGCTCCACCACCTCGTGTTTGATTGGGACGGCAACCACACGGGGCTCGAAGCCCGCGCGTGCATGGCGCTCGGCCTCATCAACAATTCGTCGCAGTCGATCGTAGTCCAAGCGACGCTTCGGGACGGTGCCGAGTTGCGATCGCTGCCGAACGGCCGACAGCACCTGGCGCCGGGCCTTGCCGAGTGGCAGCCGGACCGCGCCCTCCTCCTCTTTGCGTGGGGCTATACGCCGACGCTACTGACGACGGGCGACGTGTCGATGAATGTCCAATCGAACGCGTTCACGCTCACGATCTCGAAATCGTTTACGCGCTTGCAGGCCAACCCGGGCTACACGGCCACGTTTACGCTGCAAGAGTCGCAAACGTGGTGGGCCAAGCACATGGTCGTTGTCAGCGACGACCTCCCGTCGATCCAGACGACCGCAGCGTCAGCGGCGCCGGATGCGCAGAGTGCATACGAGATCCTCTTTGATAGCGACACGCTCGGTATTGTTGCGCGCCAAGTCGACCAAAATACGGTCGCGGTGCGCGAGTGCTGTCGCTTCTCCAACGGCCAACCCAGTCCCGCGCTGGCATGCGGTCTCATTGCCGAGGGCGACTTGATTCTATCGGTGAACGGCCTCCCCGTGCGTACGACAAGCGGCTTCAAGGCTGCGATCGTCAACACACCGCGGCCTCTCGTCGTGCGATTTGCCCGCAAGCCCGCTATCGTCGTCGAGGACGAGAACGCGTTCAACCTCTTTGGCTAAGTTCTGATGTACATACGCACGTACAGTAGCTCCATGTACCCACAGTATAAACAACCCACGTCCAAGGAAACCACATCTAGTAACATCATTAGTCGAGCGCTCGAGTCTTGGGCGCCACGATACCCTCATGTCTCGGACGGCGCGAGGAGCTTCTTGGCGCCGGTAGAGAGACGGCGTTGCTGTTGGGTCTTGGGCGGTGATGTCTTGGACGCGCGGAGCTTGAGCGCAAGCGTAAACTCTTTAAACGTGACGCCGTCGTCGTCGAGCGACGCCATCCAACGACGAAGGTCGGCCACGTCGTCGTCCGAGACGCCAAAGTTGATTTGGTGCAGCCCATCGAGGAGCTCGTCGAGCGAGATGCGCTTGTTCTGGTTGAGGTCCATGGCGGCAAAGACGTCGATCGCGCGGAGGCCGTTGCCATGAATGTACTTGTCAAGGCGGCGAAACCAGCTCGGCGGGAGCGGACTGAGCGTGTCCAACGGCGCGATCGTAGCCTGCGGCGGCCGATACAGCGACATGGCCTTCTCGTCCGCCTCGTCGGCCGGCATCTAGGCCATGGTTATCGCACAGAACCACCCTAGCGACGTGGTCGTACCGTCGGTCCGTGGGCGCAGCAGCACGCGACTTGTCCCATAAGATACCAGTCCAAAAATCGAAAGTGCAAAGTGGAACCGTCGTCGTCATGGGTCTCCTCTCCAAGCTCGTGCTGCCCGAGAGCGGTGGGCCCAAGGCGGCCAAGCCGACGCCAATCGTCCAGCTGCCACTAAGCGCGTGCCTCAAGTGGCTCAACCCGCGCAGGGCCGCGCTCGGGCTGCCCATTTATGCCGATACGCCTGCCCATGGCAAAGCCAAGGTGCTGCCAATACCACCCGTCGAGCGCCTGCGGAGCGAAATCATCGATGCGGTGCAGAACCGCACCTTTGAACAGTACGTACTACTGTCACCGTCTGGCAAACGGTGGTGCGATGGATGGTACTGCTTGTAGAACGGCTGTGGACGACCCCACGGTGGTCGTCGGCGCGGGCGGGCGCCTCTACGCAGCCACGACCGCCATCACCCTGCGCAAGCTCGCCCAATACAACGCGATTCCATTCTCGGATGTATGGACTGCGAGCTACCACGGACGCCAAATCGAAGTACTAATGGCGTTTCTCGTCGTTGAGATTTGAACTTTGAGATTCGCTTACTTGAGATTGTAGGTCGAGCACTACATTGCGACGTGCGGCATTGATCCCAACATTCCCCAATTCGGGTATCCATACCAAACACCATTGCACTGTGCCGTGAGCGGTGGTGCCACGGCAACCGTACGACGACCAACTTCAAGCGAACGAAGGACCATCTGCTGTGTTGCTCACGCATTATTCCGCGTAGGCCCAGTATCTCGTGGCCAAAGGTGCGTCGCCCGCCAAGACGGATATCAACGACAACAGTACGCTACGTGATTCCCGAGCTATAAGGGTTCGAATACTGCAAACGATGTAGCGCCGATCCATTTGGCCGCGCGCTGGGGCCGACTGGACGTTCTCGAGCTCTTCTTGCGCGGTCCGTCGCTTCCGCAAACGGCGTGGGTGGCGCCCAATCGTCTGGGCGATACGCCGATATACATGGCATCACAGCACGGCCATATCTCGGTCACTGCGTTCTTCAGGCTCCATTTCGAACAGCGCGACCACGAATGAGCCTCCATCCAATGCGACCTGGTTGATGGCCGTCCATAGTTGGGTCGCAAAAATAAACTCAAAATGCCTTTCGCATACTACCTGAGTACGACGCTGGAAGGCGTTGGCGTTGGTGCCGCTGTGCTCGTCAAGTGAGAGCTGCGCAGAGAGACTTGTCTGCGGTGGCATTCTTCCTGCATGTTGTCAAGAAGGAACGGCGTCGTTTAAATAATACGTCAACGCTTTATTCATATCCAAGCCTACGGTGACGTGCGGTGGTGCATCTCGCAGAGGCGGCGACTTCTACGACGCAAAGAGGGCGCGCAGAACGTATTCGATTTCGTGCCACGACAGCGTCGCGGTGTGCTCGTACACTTCGGGTGTGAACGGCAGCGGCGCGTACTTGGACTCGTCATCGTCGAGGCTGTCGCTGTGGCGCCGGCGCACGAGCACCGCGGGCGAAGCGGACTGATCGAGGAGGTCCATGGCCTCTTTCTTCTTCGTGGCGTACGTCTTTTGCGTCGAGTTGGCGCGGCGGCGGTGAAACTCGCAGTACGAGTGCAGCTGGCCGTTGCGTTTTGCGGACCGCGCGTTGGGGCACCGCTTGAACGCATACTTGCAGCGGTCTTCAAAGGACGCCGCGACACAGAGCGGCGAAGGCGACGACGACGCCGACGACATGGGGGTAGCGCGCGACCAGAGTGTCATGGTATACTATCTGTGTTTGGATATCGTCGGGGCGATGGCGATCTTGTAAATTACAAAGTGACGAGGTGAAGGCTCTGTTGTTTGGTTCGGAATTCGAGGTGTCGCGATCACCGACGACGTTGACGCTCGGTGCCAGAGTGGGCGGAGCTGCGTTGGATACGCCCATATGTTGAAAAGCGTGGTTTGATTTCCCGTACTTTTCGCCGCCGGAAGCTCGTCTAGCTACTCGCGCTAGCCAATGCGAGGCGAATATGCGTTCCGGGAAACCACCATGCGTTGATACGGTCATGGTCGCATCCAATGTAATGCATTGCTCGACGCCCATTGGTGCTCCGTGGTGCCACATTGTACGTCATGTCCGTGCCGCCATCCAAGCCACCGCGGCGCAAGCATGTCTTTCCTTTGAAAGAAGCAATGGCAAGGGTGCGGGATAGCGCTTAGTAAGTGCGCACGATGAACAATCATACCCGGCACACCACCACGCAGCAAAGATGCGTCACTGGACCGGACACTCGGTAGAATATATTCTCAATAGATAGCAACTGGATGAATACGCCAAGGGCCACCGTAGTAAGCCATTGTGTGCACGATGGACTGAGCCACGATCGACCGAGAGGTAGGAGAGTATTTCGCTGGGTCAACAAAGGGCATAAGCTTACATGTGCATTGCGTGGAGGACACAACGGGTACAGCAGCACCGTAGGCGGCGCCCTCGAATCGCAGCGGACGTATCCGCAATGTTTGTCGGATCCAAGACAATCGCACCGTGTGTAGCAGGAGAAACGAGATCGTCGCTGCGCAACTTTCGTTCGCAAACACTGCGTCGAACACTGTCGAGACAGATTGCCGTGCGAATTACTTCTCTTGCATTGCACTGCATAGTATGGGATCTCGATGCCTTCAATCCCTTGGTGGCAACAAACAACCAGTTCTGCGCCGCCAAACCAAGCGCTACGTTATAGAAGGCTCGGTGGACCGCGAAATCAGATGTTGTAAAACAGTTGTGCCACTGTCACCATATGTTTTGGGTGTGTCATCACGGACAGATCCCACCGGTTCGGACGGCGTCGTTGAATGCGACACATCATCCTTGGTACGATACCATCGGAGATTCGATGCTCGGTTCCTTTATGTAGAGGTTGCAAAGCTGCGATATCGTACGACCGGCTCTTGCATCGGTGCCAGATATCGAACATCGCAGCGAGCGATGGGCACGTCGTTAGACACGCAGAACGTTGAGCAGCGGAATCTAATTCCGCACCAGATCGTCGTCGACGTGCGCAGATAGTTCAAACGTGTGGCTTGTAGATAACAGCCCTGATGCGCAACCTCCCTGTCGCGAGTGTTGATGTCGATCAACGCGTCCGAAGCACATTTGCATGGGCTGAAACACACAGCATCGAAGCCCACGATACGATATTCGTCAGATCCTGAAACAAAGTCAATTTGGTGGACCCACAGCGCGTCACACACGAGAAGCATTTGGCTGTAGAAGCGTGAGGTTATGCTACTCGAGTGTGGAGCCAATTCGTTTGTTGTTTTGTGTCCAAGCACACCTGTCACATGCTCGATGACATTGTCGTCATCAGGCCAAACGGCATTACGTGTGCTACTCCGAGAAACGAGCTGCTTCGAGACGCACGTTTTCTCTGGGTCGAAACGGGTACGTATTCCGAAGCCTGTTGGACCTCCATTCGAAAGAGTCGCCTCTGTCGAAGCCTATGGGATGCTTAACATGAGAGCGATGTGTAGAATGTTGAGCGTTTGCTGCTTCCAAAGAAGCTTACTCCTTACGACAAGCGTAGTTTCTCTCCAAGATATATTCTTTTGTGGAATCGCGCTGCACTGTTTCGTCGCGATTGGAATGTGGACCAAGCCTGCGTGGTCGAGGGATCTGTCGGTCATGCATTTTGTTCCAAGCGCAGTACAGCTGCAAGACGGCTCGACGGAGTTTACTGCACATGTCCTCCAATCCAAATCATTGCCGAACCATGTACGCAACAAGCTCTGCGAACAACACGCAATGCACAGTCTGCTTCAATACAAAATTGGTCTGTCATTCAAAAGATAAAAGAGAGGGGGATCGGCCCGACGTTCTAGCCGCGGAGGTTGAAGTCCATCTTCTGAGGACCCTTGGACGGGTAGACGCAGCCCCACGCACCAGTCTTGAGCTTCTGGCACGTCGCGGATTCGGGCGCCTGGCACCAGCCGTTCTTGGACGAGAAGAGACCAGTCTTGCAGTCGCCCGAGGCCCAGTCGCCCTGCTTGGGGCAAGCACCACCGCCACTGTTACCCGAGCAGACCGGGCCGTTCACGCAGTAGGTAGCATCACCTTCAACCGAGACGTTGGTGCAGCCCTGGTCGGCTTCAGCAGCCATCTTCTGGGGACCCTTAGTCGGGTACACGCAGCCGTAGGCACCCGTCTTGAGCTTTTGGCACGTCGCATCCTCCGGTGCCTGGCACCACTTGCCGTTGGACGAGAAGAGGCCGCTCTTGCAGTCGCCCGACGCCCAGTCGCCCTTCTTGGGGCAAGCGCCGCTGCCGCTGTTGCCCGAGCACACGGGGCCGTTCACACAGTAGGTGGCATCCCCCTCGACCGACACGTTGGTGCAGCCCTGATCGGCCTCGGCCGTCATGCCGGCGACCATCTTTTGGGGACCCTTCGACGGGTACACACAGCCGCGAGCGCCCGTCTTGAGCGTCAAGCAGACGGCCGACTCGGGGGCCTGGCACCAGCCGTTCTTGGAGGAGAAGAGGCCGGCCTTGCAGTCGCCCGAGGCCCAGTCGCCTTGCTTGGGGCAGGCGCTGCCGTTGCCGCCGCAGATGGCGCCTTCGATGCAGTAGGTGGCGTCGCCCTCGACGGAGACGTTGGTGCAGGCCGTGGCGTAGGCGGCAGTGGCGAGGATGATGGTGAGCTTCATGGTCGGAGGAGAGGAGGAAATTGGAGTATGACACTGGAATTGCGTTTGGTCCAGCGATGTCAACTTTGCATTTCGCTCGCGTAGACTAGCTTGATGCTAGCATGGACGAATCCACACATTTCACTGGATTCGCGCCCAGATGTCGAGTCGTTTGCGCGGATGATCGCAATCCGCCGACACATTTTTTTGAAATTTGTATCAAATTGGCACCAAAGGCAACCAAGCACTGCGTCGTCTTGTCGAAACGCGCGGTAGTCAAACCCATCCTCCTCATCTCTGGCCCAGATGCTCTGTTATGACAAGGGTCCATAA